TTAAAACTTGGAACGCATCTGTACCGAATAATAATAACAACAACAACAATAATAATAATAATAACAATAATAATAATGATGATGATAATAATAATAACAATAATGATAATAATTAATAATAATAATAATAAATAATAATAATAAATAATAATAATAAGAAGAAAAAGAAGAACTCCCTCTTACTGTTTTTACTGAAGGTTATAATCTTAGTGACCGTGCCATACTTGGAGAAAATCTGAAAATATATAAAAATTTGAAAATAATAAAATAATAAACAATAATAAACAATAATAATAATGAATAATAATAACAATTAATAATAATATTATTATTATTATTAATTTTAATAATAATTGTAATCCATAATCTGACGGTGATTATGATCGATCAATGATGATTTATTGAAACGCAAAATTAATTGATGAAAAGAATTTAAGAGAGAAAAAAAAATGAGAAAAAAAAATGAGAGAGAAAGAGAGAGAAAAAGAGAGAGAGGGAGAGAGAGAGTAAGAGAGAGAAAGCGAAAAAAGTTGTTTAATGACTATTTTTTTTGAAATTCGATACCATTTAAACTGTTAATAAATATCATACCCACATACAAAGCACATGTGGCTATAATATAAACATATCCCAAAGACGTATACACACACACACATACACTCACATACACACGCACATACACATACACGCACATACATACACACACACACAGACATACCTGTTTCAAATTGTCCAACGAAACTTGGTAGAACATGTTTTCAATGACAACACGGAGAACAGATTTTAATGAATCGTTATTACCATCAACAATCAAGTTGTTGTTGTTGTTGATGTTGTTGTTTGTAATTGTTGCTATCTGATTGTTGTTGTTGTTGTTGCTGAGTTGATGATGTTGTTGCTGGTATGTTTGTTGATGTAATAAACTATTGTGATTGTTGTTGTTGTTGTTAGCGATAACTCCATTTGAGACGATATTGTTGTTGTTAATGTTGTTGTTGCTAATCAAATGCATGTTTTGTTGCACTGATGTTGCTAGTGTTGTTGGCTGATAGATTGCTGTTGTCGTCGGGGCAGTCTACGTTACAGAATGAATGAATGAATAAATAAATGAACGAATGAACGAATGAACGAACGAACGAACATCGAACGAATGAATGAATAAATGAATGAATGAATGAATGAACAACAACAACAACTACTACTACATCAACATTCATAAACAACAAAAATCATTGCACACCATCTCTAACCCGATAAACCTGATAAAACATATCACTTTTATGATGATGTTGTTGTTGTTGATGATGTTGTTGTTGTTGTTGCTGCTGCTGCTGCTGATGTTGTTGTTGTTGTTCTGGAGAACTCAGTTGCAAATACAAAAATCTGTCTCTAACTTGCCCGGGTCTTTCTGCATAGAAATTAACTAGAGCTTGCTGTTGCACGTTCGCTACTTCCGTCATAATGTTGTAGTAGTTGTTGCTGCAGTTGTTGTTGTTGTTGTTGTTGTTGTTGTTGTTGACACTGTTATAACCAGTAGCAGTAATATTTGCAGCGCTGAGTAACGTAGTAGAAGAAGTGGTAGTAGCAGCAGTAGCAGTAGCAGAAGTTGCCGCTGTTGTTGCGTAACAATGATTGAACCTGACCTGACGAAAATGTTGTTTTAAATGATTTAACAAAAATTTAGGTAATAATACAAAAAAATATAAATTAACGACGATTATGATGGCGATGATGATAATATTGATGATGGTAAAGATGACGACGACGACGACGACGATGATGATTAGCATGTTTGCTAGTCATTCAATGGATTGACGCACGATAAACAACCGTTTGTGTGCACAATTTGTGCATGTGTGTATATGTGTATGTATGAATGTATGTATGTGTGTGTATGTGTGTGTGTGTGTGTGTGTGTGTGTGTGTGTGTGTGTGTGTACGTGAGGATACTTTTCAAGGAAGCGCAAATGTTATTGAGTGTAATTGTTGATTGAATGGCAGCTTTTGTAATTAACCGCTGTCAAAGTCAAAGTCCATTACCATCGTCATCTTCATAATCCTTATCATCATCGTCATCTTCATAATCATTATCATCATCATCATCACAATCATCATCAAAATCATCATCAGCGCCGCCTGTATTTATGTAGCGCTTTGTTAATTGGTGGGCGCAGGAGAGAGAACGGCGTGCTACTTCCTAATGTCGATTATCCAGATGAACGCACCCCTCACACTAGATAGGGACTATTTAGTATCTTTGATGAATGACGTCACAGTATGGCGCGGTTAGGATGACGATGACGACGATGATGACTGGATGACTATGACAATGATGATTTTACTGATATACATGGCATTAACCTGATGACAATGAGAGTACAATAAATTGGAGAACAGTGAAAGAAATTTCTTATACATGACACACACACACACACACACACACGTGTGTGTGTGTTTGTATGTGTGCGTGCAGGCATGTATGTGTTGTGTGTGTGTGTGTGTGTGTGTTTAGATGCGTGCGTGCGAGTTTGTATGAAGGCAAGTCACACGGCGACCATAAGTCAAGCAACTAGTTTGTTGCCTCTCAAAACATAAGTTTATTGTTTTTGTCTCATAATATACGCACATACACACACACTCACATACATATACACACACTCACATACACACATACATATACAAACACACATACACACAGATAAAATACAAACATAGTGGTAGCTTGTAGTAGCAGTAGTAGTACTAGCAGTAGTAATTGTGGTGGTAGCAGCAGCAGTAGTAGTTGTGGTAGTAGCAGCAGCAGTAGTAGTTGTGGTAGTAGCAGCAGCAGTAGTAGTTGTGGTAGTAGCAGCAGCAGTAGTAGTTTTGGTAGTAGCAGCAGCTGTAGTATTTTTCATTAACTTTATTACTTTATGCAGTTAAATAAAATCTGTCCATTCACAGATAAGTGTGTTGTTTGCTTAAAAATGTAATTGGAAAAGGCATTCAAATATAGACATGCACACATAAATATATACACACATACATACAAACAAACATCCATACATACATGCATACACACACACACACACACACACACACATATTTATATACGTAAGATGCAAAAAAGAATGTAAAGTATTTATGTAATCGATACTCATTCTGTTTGTTGCACATTGTATATATGTGTTTATGTGTGTTTGTTTGCTTGTATGTATGTATGCATGTATGTATGTATGTATGTATGTATGTATGTATGTATGTATGTATGTATGTATGTATGTATGCATGTATGAACCCATAATTGATTAGAACTATAGGGAAGTAATAATCATATCCGGGTTCAGCTTTAATCTATATTAAACGCTTCGCACAGACAGGTATTTTAACGCTCCATCCAAAATACAGAAAGAATTATATTTTTGAAGTAAAATAGAAAAGGATTGCTTTACATACAAAAGGATTGTATGTATGTATGTATGTATGTATGTATGTATGTATGTATGTATGTATGTATGTATCAAAATCAAATCAAATCAAATCACTTTTATTCAATCAAACAAAACAAAAGCATGAATGATTCGGAGACCAAAAAAAGAAAATTAATTCTTGTGGGCTCGGCCACCGTGCAGCTCAAAATTGCTTCTCAATGATAAAATAAAATTGTCAATAGGAGAAAATGTATCAATGTTAATGAAATATGTACACACTTATATACATATATATACATATACATTATTATCCTTGAAAAACAGAACTTTTCGTAATTAAAAAATTTTTCAGTTTATTTTTAAAAAGATGCAAAGTGTTACAATCTTTAATTTCTTGTGGAATCGTCTCCCATATTCCTGGGCCGGTGTGTTTCAAACTCATGCAGAGTACTTTAATTCTGGCTGGTGGGGCATAGAAAAGTGGCGTGTGGCGTGTAGTTCTTGCTTGAATGGAAGTTCCAAAAGTGAAAAAGTTTCTAAAAAATGCCGGCAATTGCTGACGTAGAAATCTAAAAATGAATGTTGCAACGTGGTAGATGAACAGGTTTTTGATGTTGAGTATTTTCATCTCGAGATAATATTCACTTGTGTGACAATGAGGATGAAGATTTTTAAATATTCTGATGAATCGGTTTTGGCATTTTGTTAACTGTTTTAGATGAATGTCAGGACTGTTTCCCCAAATTACGTTGCAGTAGATGAGGTGAGGAAAGATTAACGAATAATACAGGTCAATTAGAGTAGGTTTATTTAATTTATTTTTAATTTTGCTTATAACTCCTAGGGTTTTGCATATTCTTTTAGACATAGTATCTATGTGAATATCCCAAGAAAGATTGTCCTTGATTGTTACTCCAAGGAATTTTGTGCTGGTTGAGCGAGGAATAGAAATATTGTTCATTTTTATGTCTAGGTTAGGTATAATATTTGTTAAAATTTTCGGACCAAAAATAATGTAATTACATTTAGAATAATTTACTATTAATTTATTTTTGATAAACCAGGTTGATATATTTTGAAGACTTTTATTGATGTATTCTACTTCTTTCAATGGGTCTTTAGTTGGGAAGAAGATGTTAGTGTCATCTGCATACAGAAGGTGATTTGCATCAGTTGCATGTTGAAAATCGTTCATGAAGATTATGAATAGAAGAGGACCTAAAATTGATCCTTGTGGCACGCCTGATCTTACG